GAAAAATTAACAAGATAAGATCATCCAGTCTGTGTGTGTCTGTGTATCTCTGTGTGTGTGTGTGTGTGTGTGTGTGTGTGTGTCTGTCTGTGTCTGTGTCTGTGTCTGTGTCTGTGTGTCTGTGTGTCTGTGTGGTGTGTTACTAGAGATTGACACCAGACCTCACACATGCTAGGCAGGTCATCACCACTAAGCTGCATCCCCATCGTGAGCATGCAGCTTTTTCCACACTCTCAGAGCTTCCTGGAAAATGACGGAGCAAAAAGAAGCTAAAGGAGAGGAAAATGAAGACACATCTGCCAAGGGACTGTGAGATGCCTCCAGTCACAGACCCTCCAACCTATAGTGTCTGGTGGGCGATGGGAAGAAGAGGGATTCCTAGAAATATCCAGATAAAGAAGGAACTATGCAGCTCTGGTAGGACTGGAAATCTCCATGTAGATCAGGTTGGCCCCCAGCTCACAGAGATCTGCCTGCCTCTGCCTCCCAAGTGCTAAGATTAAAAGTGTGAGCCCTCACCCATCTGGAGCTAGATCTGTGTTTGTGTACATGACCTGAAATCAGAAAGGAAGGGGACCTCTTTGAGGGAAGAAGCAGAGCAGTGGGAGGGGAAAGAGAGGGAACAGAAGAGTGTGAGGAAGTGCAGTGATATTCGTGATGAAAAGGACATGAGGAACCCATTGTTTTGTTTGCTAAAAATAATAATAAAAATTAAAACAGGCTTGGTGGGATTGAGATGGAGGCGGGAAGATGAGGAGTTCAAGGTCTTTGGCTACATAGCAAGTTGAAGGTCAGCCTGGGCTACTTAAGACCTTATCACACAACCAAAAAGAAATAAAGAGAAAACAAAAAGAAACGAGCTCAGCTTAGTATATATTTTGAAAGCTGTAGTGGTCTACTCCAGGTGTTTGAACCATTCTTTCTGATAAAAGATTTATTTGGTCTCAAGCCAGAACTGGGGTCTTTTACGGACCCTGTAAAATTGTTGTTTTATGTTTTTTTTGAGCTCTGAAGGCAGGACACAAAGTGGGTGGAGCAATCTACTTTCATTTTCTGAGAAATAGAAATTTACAAGAGTAGGGAAATCATGCTTTTATTACTTGAGCTGTAAATGTTACATGAATGTTTTAGACTCCTCCTTGCCCATGGAACCTGGACAAGAAAGCTTGGGGGAGGACAGCCATACCATGGAGGTGGGGCAAGGAAATGACTCAGACGAGGCAATCTGATTCTAGGACAAAAGCAGGTCTTGTCTTCTGTCCTTTCCCTGTGAGGTCTGTGTAATACAAGGCTGGGACCAGGCAGCCAGGTCTGAGGTGGGGCTCCTCTGTCCAGGTTGTGTGTGTGCCCTGTGCTTGTCAGAGCCTTGCAGGCTTATCATCTTGCTTCTCCACTGAGAGGAGGAAATAGAAACTGGTCAGGCAGCTTAGGACAGGGACTTTGACTTTGGCCAGAACCAGGAAATGTCTTGTTTTTGCCCTGGACAGACTAGGGACATCTGAAGGGAGGTCTAGTTTCCTGTTGCCTCTCTTCCCCAAAACAAACCCTGCCTTTGTGGGGACATGACCGAGAGGGACACCTGGACACCTGGGGTTGAGACAGCAGGACCAACCAGCTCATCCTCCTCTGTGTACCTCACCCCAGGTCTGCCACAGTCCTTTTGAAACATCTCTAGACTAGTAGTTCAATGATACCCCATTTCTACGGACTCACTCCTGCTAAACAGGAGCTCTGCTTCTTTCTCTAAGTCCCCACCTACCAATCTATGATAAAACTTCTTTCTAAACTTGTCCTCCTTTGTCCAGAATTTCAGTCTTGGAATTCATAAGAACAACAATCTGGAGCCACAGGCTCAGTGGAGGTTTTATGTGACCTTTGTGGGCTTTACTCCTGAGTTTAAGCTCACCTGCAGTGAGACCAAGCCTCTGTCAAACTAAAAGACACCCCATTTTTCCTGAATCACTATTCCACTCCTCCCTGTGAGCGTGCAGGGCAAAGTTAGAAGTTAGAGTGTTGGCCCAATGTTGGCCTTGGTGGTGGCCATGCTCCTCTACAATCCCAGCACTTAGGAGGCTGAGGCAGAGGGAACATGATCTTGAGGCCAGCCTAGTCTATGTCTTTTTATATGGTAATGGTGCTTCTCAAATTAAGAAAATAATCCCTGCCGGCATGGTGGCGCACACCTTTAATCCCAGCACTCGGGAGGCAGAGGCAGGCTGATCTCAGTGAGTTCAAGGCCAGCCTGGTTTACATAGTGAGTTCCAGTCCAGCTGGGGCTACTGGGGAGATCCTGTCTCAAAAAAAGATCCCCCCCAATAAAAGAAAAGAAAAGAATCCCATGGGCTACTATTTTTATTATCAAATTATAATTATAAAATGTTCAGTCTAATGATGACACTTTCAAACAAGCATATCACACATTTTGTTCTTCTTCTCTGTCCCACCGTTCCCGTCTTGTTCTCTGCACCTCTCCTGGGCTCCTCTTCCACGTCCCACATAATTTTCTTTCCATTTTCATGTCTGACATGTGTATCTTCTTTTTAAAAAAATATTTTATTATTTTCATTTTATGTGTATGAGTGTAATGCCTGCATGTAGGTAGGTGCACCTGTGACATGCAGTGCCCATGGAGGTCAGAAGATGGTGTCAGATCCCCTGGAACTGGAGTTACAGATGGTTGTCAGTCACCATCTGGGTTCTGGGAAGTGAACCCGGGTCCTCTGCAAGAGCAGTCACTGGCTCTTAACCACTGAGCCATCTCTCCAGCCCCAGACATGCATATTTTCTCTTTTTTATTTTTTTATTTTATGTGTATGCGTGTAATGCCTGCATGTAGGTAAGTGCACCTGTGTCCTGCAATGCCCGCAAGGACAGAAGAGGCTGTCGGATCCCCTGGGACTGGAGTTACTGACAGTTGTTAGCTGCCATGTGGGTGCTGGGATTCAAACCCAGGTCTTCTGCAAGAACAACCAGTGTTCTTAACCACCCTGACAAGTTGTCTACACTGTGGTAAAACCTTCATCCTGATCCAGATGTTTTCAGGTTAGAGAGCAGAGAGACATCTGTGTCTTTCTTCCCGTTTCCTGGTACTCTGAGGCTCGGCCACCTTCTCGGATGTTTCCTGACCCACTCGGTTTCCTCTTCGCTGATTTCCCCATTGCCTCCCTTTTCCCCATTCTCTGCTTGTTGTTTGTTCTATCTAAATGGCTTGGAAGATTTATTTGTATTTCAGAAACTAAGCCTTTCATTCATAGGTTGTAAATATAATCTTTTAGCCTGTGCTTGCATTTAAGAGTTTTCTATTTTAGTTGTAGAGTCACAGGTAGTTTTGAACGTACACAGAATACCCACGTACCTTTTTCTAGTTTCCCCAATAGGGCCACCTTCCACCAGGAAACTGACAAGAGGGTGACCTATTTCTATCACATACTTACACAGCCATCACCCAGTGAGGGTGGAAACAGCCTCATCGCACTGTCCTTCCAGCGGCTTCCTCACGGTCGTCCTCATTGACCTCTCCTGACCCACCCAACAATCTATAGTCCGTAATTTCATATTTCAAGGATGTGCTATGGATAGAATAATAGATCGTGTGACCTTTTGAGATCTGCTCTTTTCACTCAATATATAAGTCCTCAAACTTCTACCCTGTTGTATCAATGATTTGTTCTGTTGTAATTTGTGTGTGTGTATGTGTGTGTGTGTGTGTGTGTGTGTGTGTGTGTGTGAGACAGTGTCTTCCTGCAGTCCCAAATGTCCTGGAACTGGTCATGTTGATCAAGCTGGTCTTGATCCCCTTGCTTCTGCCTGGTCAAAGGAGATGCAGCTCAACTCTGTGCTCCCCCTGTTGGGTGTGAGTGAGGGCTATCTGTGGACACCTAGGGTGAAGGGGCAGTGGAGTTCTAGAGTGTTCTTCCTACAGCAGGCAGTTGAATCAGGAGTGGGGTTCCTGTGGAGCCCCCAGAAAGAGCAGTGAACACCATAGACTCTTCAGCGAGCCCCTGTGCATTTCCAAACCTGGGGTGTGTGTGGGCATTAAGGGTAAGAGAAGAAACTGTGCTCAGTTTGATCAAAGCCTGTCATCTGCATTCATGACAATGCCACAGTGAAACACAATTTTCATATAATTTGTACACACCACAAAACAACCTGCCCCAAAGAAACAAAACAATGAAACCCCCCAAACCGAGTGTTTTCCTGGGGGTGGTTTAAGGTGCAAAGAGCTGGAGAAACAGGTATCATCATAATTAACATAAAAGGGGCCCAAATCAAACAATGTGACAGGACGGCTGGGCCCCTAGGGCAGCCATGGAGCCCCCTCCTTGCAGTGCTGGGGCGCTTCCCCATCTGCCCCCTCAGCAGCAGCCTGCCCCTTGCCCCTTCCTTCTCCCCAGGCCTTAACAACTGTTCACATCCCACCTCTCGAGTGCCTGCTCTGTGGGAAGGACAGCAAGTTGGAAAGGCTGGGTTACCCTGCTGGAGACAAGGATTTCCAGTTTTGATTTTTAAGAAATTAAGCTAGATTAGATTTTCCCATACTGGTGTTTATTGCACATTGAGCATATTTCCCTGGACCCCAGAGTCTCTTCCCATTCATCCTGTTTATGCTGCTGTTGCTTTATGCGATTTTGCTTCTATTTTTATTATATATCAATTTCTTCATATATATATATATA